TCCAGAAGAAAAACAAGCACTTAGATTTCCCCCCTTCCTCTCTGCTTCCCCACCCACAAATAAGTGCTATGCTTTTAGTGCACTTAGTGTTCTCAGATTATGTTAAAATATACCAAACATACACTGTTCTAGTCTTTCATGAAAACTTTAAATTGCTATTTCTGGGCTCAATTCAAGCCTTGCCTCATTCTGTGATAAAAGGACTTAAAAGCACTGTTCTAGAATAGAATAAGGTTTGGGTTTTTTATAGCGTCTTTCATGTTCACAGTATCCCAAAGGGCTTTACAAAGCACTGATGTAGATACTGGAAGTACAGTAAGCGTAGGCAAATGCAGCATCCATTATGTGCTTGGGGATGGCTGATGCACCTAGCACCTTTCCTTACATAACAGCAATGGGTTTGAAAGGGATTGGAGCATTGGTTGGACATCATCATTACTGTAATGGGCCGCAGGGATGTCTGGGAGTCTGAAATAGTAGGTGGAGAGAAGCAGGAGAGACAGGGAAGTGTGGTATGTATGCAAGGGGAGATGCAGGTGCATTGCTGGAAGCTGTGCAAGCAGGCAATGGCTCTAACTTGCTGAGGGAGATTACACCTCCCCATCACATGTGGGGGAAACCTGGAGAGAAATGAATGTCTGGGATGGTGGAGGCATAAACATCCTCTGTGTTTGAACATGCTTGCTAGATGCACAGTGAGAAGCCAGAGAGTGTGTACAGGATAGCGTGGTGATGTGCTTGAGCTGCCTGTTTGTGCTGAGGACAGGGAGTAAAGCATGGGAGAGGCTGTAACAAGGTGGAAAGACCACACAGAGGGCACCACTGTGGAAGGAGACAATGCACATTCATGGCTGAACTAAATACATGTTTTGCATGTATTTGAGTGAGAGAAGGGGTGAGAAACTGCTTACACCTTGTGTGCAAGGTAAAGGATTGACGTGCAAAGATACTTATTCTTTGGAGAGCAGAAAGCTTTCAAAGGAAAACAAAAGAAAGGACTTTATGAGGTATGGTGAAAGAGTAGAGGTGTGTTGGGAGAAGATTGTACAGCAGGGAAGAAGAGGTGAGGTTGTCAGGGGTCACAAACATCACACAGCACCAGGACACTGCATGAAGAGGGGTACACCTCTGCCTGTGTGCCCTCCTCTGAACAAGGCAAAACAAGGGAACTGCTTCTCAGAGAGTATGTGGGGTGAAAGGAAAGGTTTTGCTTGAAAGCGACTATAGGTTTTCTTGATGTTGGCATCAGGCTGATTCAAAAAGAACACCTATCACTTCACTTCCATTTAGTTTTCTGTTCCTTTCAAAATCTGGCTTTTTAGGGACTCAGCATTAAAAATAAATGAGAATTTCCTGCTAAAGAGTGAACTTTTTCAGTGCAACATAAGGCATGCATTTAAATGTAGGGTATTTTTAAAGGCGTAAACACCCAAAGGAAGTTAGCTACTCTGGTAGAAGTGGACTTCTGTTTTAATGTCAGTTTTGTCATTAGACAAGTTGGGAAAACCCAAAAGCAAACCAAACCCCACTCTTTAAACAAAACCAGAAGAATAAATGTAAGATACTGCCTCTTCTCTCTCTTTCCTGAAGAAATATGGTCCAAAGTCATGTTATGTGGCAACGAGGACTAAGAAGTATTGAGTCAGAGATTATAAATGGCAACTTACTGCAATGACATGGACATTAGCACAGAAGTCAGGAAAAGACTTCTGCAGGAGGCAGAGAGACCATTATAGCTTTTCATGGGCAGATAAAAAGCTGATTTCAGATGAGAAGTGAGAGGGGCTCTTCTATTTTAGCCTGCTATAACTCAACTGAGCTAACTGATAAATCTTTCCTATGTAGATACAGATATTAGCAATGCCTATTACACAAATGCCTTAGAAAATAATGTCACACTTCTATCACACATACTGATGTTACTCCTTCCCTAGCTCCTCAGCAGCATTTGTTTTTGAGCAGAAGCCTGTGATAGAAATTTGGATTTGTGAGGCTTACAGAACCTGTGCGTCTTGTGACATATAACAATGTCCAGATGTTCAGTTTGCTTCAGGCTGTTTTCTTTACTCTCAGTTATCATATGAATTATAAGGAAGTGTTTCCTGAAGTCCAGAGAAAGACAAGTGTCTGAAATGCTGCTTGAGCCCTCCCTAATGCATCCTCCTCATGGCTGCTTGGGAGAGAAGCAATACCGAGTCCCTTACCAGAGACAATTACACAGGTCACACAGGGCAACTTCTGCTTGACACCTTATCAAAGATAGGGTGTTAAAATACTCAGTTAAAGGAGGTTTCAGCAAGTAAAGCCACTGACACTTTATCACTTTGCATCAGCCATGGATCAGACCAGCCTACTGCTCCTGGGCTACAGGTATTGTCCTGCAGCAAAGCAAGACCTGCACCGCCTGCCTTTCTTCACTATCAGGTGTACATCACAGTCTTTTCTACAGTGACCAGCTATAGAGTAAGTGGGTTGCTCATGCTTTGCATGTGCATGGGATGACAGCAAAGGAAACTGCTAAGCAAGAGAAAAAGATTAAACAGTAGGGAAACAGCAACGTTCCTATCTAAAAGAACTGGAGGACAGAAAATAGATAAGCCATAAAAGCAAGGAAATGTCTCCAGACTAAAGTAAATAGTAAGCTTTAAAAATCTACCTCTGAGAGATTATGTAGGTGGAACTTTACAAAAGAAATCTCTGGGGTTTACCCCAGTGTGAGCTGTTGCTTTAAATCATTTGCCAGGCACTTGAGAGTTTAATATCAGCTTTTGATACGGTATTTTTCTAAAGTGATTTTGGAGATTATATACAGGGAAAAGGTAAAAATAAACCTGAGTGTGAGGGTTTTGTTGCAAAACCAGTTTTAAAGCCTGATGGAAAAGTCATGAATGTCTTGTTTAAGAATGAAGCCCTGGCAGTATAAGATACCATTTCTCAGCTTGAAAAGTTTTCAGTGAACTGTCTAAAATACCAGTGTGCCAATATTGAGACAGGCAGATGGAAAGGAGCTGATAAGCCATAGACAAAGGAAATGTCTTTAAACATCCTTTCAAAGAGAGACTGTTTTAATAAGCAAAGCACTGAGATGGGCTTGGATGAAAGTACTGAACCAAATAGCCATTGGAAAATGCAAAGGGGCTGTTTCATAAACATGAAGATGTTGATATTTGTTCAAATTTCCTTAAAACAAATATGCATGACAGACTAGTGTGCAAAGATAGGAAAAAGTCAAAATTAAGTTCCATGATGATAAGAGATCTAGTAATGCAGCTTTCCTGAATGACTGGTTAGAATAAATCCCAGCTTTTCCACATTTCTAGAGCCAAAAAGAACACATCGTGACAGTTTTCTCCCCAGATGAGTCAGTCTCCCCACAAAACATGAACAAAACCTCCAACACATATTTTTGAGCATTTATGGACCTTCTGTAAGCAGAGATCTCATTACGGAACTACACTTGTTTTGAGTGGTTCAAATCAGTCCCTGTTGTATTTGCGCAAACCCCTGTAGATGATATGTGCAGCAAGAGGGAACTAATGCAACTCCATTCACATTACTTAAATGTCAGTAATCTATGCTGGCTGTTTATTCCTACATTGTCCTAAATTTATAGATTTTCACTATGTGCTTTAGATTTCTCCTACAACAGCTGTAAAATGAAACTTAAGGAGATTCAGACTGAGATCTGGGAACAGCACAAAATTTGTGGCATTTGCAAAGCTCACAAAAGCCCATTTCCCTCCAGGTTATGCCTTTGAAATGGGCTGAAGTCTCGGAAAAGAGACACTTTTATTAGAAACACTCTTAGTTTGAGCAGTCAAACTAAGAAACACTCTGAATTCTAACGTAAACTATAGTGGAAAGAACTATGCCAGAACCAATAATGTACAGAGAGTATCTTCATACCCAGTTCTTCCCTCCTGTGCCCTCCCTGCCTGCTCTGTGCTCCACTAGCTGCCCCTCAAAATAAAGTAATAAAAATTCAAATGAGATTTCAGGAAAGTATACCTGTGAAAGGGAGACATCTCCTGTCACTTTAATAACATACCAGGTTAATAATATTAAATTACCAGAGGCCAAGGAAATGTCACTGGAAATATTTAAGGCTCCCCACTAGAGAGTGATGAGACTTTCAAGTAGCTGGGAGAGAATCAGCATGGGATAGCAAGGACTGGCAAGGCTGATCCTGACCCATTAGGAAAAGGCATTTTGCACAGGTTGGCTTCTCATTTAAGGAACATATATTAAGAAAATAGAAGCTTTTCTAATCCTGGAAGTTAAATTTATGCTGGTGAAATGGGGCAGGAGAGCTCTGCAGAAAACAGCCCTCAGATTATTGACCAAGTCAGCAGATGATAGACTATACACAATGAATGTTCGGCTTTTTTTCCCCACATACATTACTTCGCACTTAACAGCATTGAATTACATCTGTGATTTTATCACTGAATCACTCTGGATCTCAGCAGTCTTCTGCGATTCTCTATACTCAGCTTCAAATTTGACTATGCTCAGTTATTTTGTGTCTTCCACTAACCTCATTTTGCTATGTATCCCCTTTTCCAGCCCATTTTGAATATGGTGAATATGTTTGCAAATGTCCTTGTAAGCAGTTAACAGGAAAACTTCCTGTCTTACCATTGACTTATAAATTCTTTAAGAGTGGGTCCAGTTTCCAACCTTTCACTTTGCCAAGAGATTTAGTTCCTCTGTTAATATAGTGAATACATGACCATTATCATGCCCATTTGAACTGACCATTGTGTTTGTTTGGGTTTGGACCATACCTTGATCCACATGGGCATTTTACTGAGGCAACCAACCTTAAAACAAACCTACCAAGCAAAAACACAGACATCTCTCCTAAAGACAGCTGGGCAGCATGAGTTTAAGGCTGCCTGGGATTGCCAGAATGATACAAAGGTTTTTGTCAGAGCTGTGGGATTTGTGTCATTTAAAAAAGAAATATACAATTTCTCTTTATTTTTATTGATCCACAGGTAGAAGTGGCCTGTGTGAAAGCAGTCCTTAGCTCAAGAAAAGTCTTCTCTGGAGTTGTTCTGATTTATACCAGCTAAAGGTAAAAGCCTCTTCAGCTGGGGGATAATCCACATTTGTGCGGTTCTTGAGTCTGCTGGACAAATAATTCAGGAAGAAAGGGAGTGAAGCGGGTCTGCAATTTGAAGGACTCTTAAAGCTCCTGCTGCTCACAGCTCTGCTTCTCTTTCCATCAGGAGGAAGCCTCAAGCACAAATATTACTTGTTCAGCCTGTAAATTGTCAGAGAAAATGTAGAGCAGGAAAACCCTCATCCTCATAAAGCACACAATCTCAATTCGCTCTGTAAATACAACTTGTGCCTGGTGCAGTAACAAACCACCAGTACATTAAAAAGGCAGTCACTGCTCTCTCCATAACTGAAAGATAAGGATGAAGAGAAAGTAGATTGTGACAAATGTGAGGTTTCAAGGCCTGAAACTGAGAGCTTCCAGCCCATGTTGAACCTTCCTTGACAGGCAGTCATGCAGAGGTGTGCATGAAACACCTCTGAGCTCAGTGGAAAGCAGGCTCCACACGAGAAGGAAAACTGGAAGAAGCAACACCATCCTTAAAACAATCTCTGGAGCTGATGCCACAGTCCCCATCAACAGGTCTTGCTGCTGCACGTATTATTAGAAACTAAACCAGACAGAATCGGTGAACACACAGACACATCATTCTTGAGAAAAGTCAAATCAGATCTTGTAGAGGGAAGGCCTGTCTCACAGATCATTCTGGGGTCTCCTAAGTTATTAAGAAATGAATCAATAAGGATTATGTAGTCAATGCAGTGCTCACGAATTAAAACCCAAAACCAGCCTCTCATGGTAACTTCCAAAAGCTTGTAAAGAATTTATAACTTATTGGTAAGACAAGAAAAGTTTTCCTGTTAACCACCTACAAGGACAGTAGCAAACATATTCATATTCAAAAAGGGCTGGAAAAGGGGATTCATAACGAAATGAAGTTACTGGAAGAAACAAATAACTGAGCATAGTTGAATTTGAAGCTGACTACAGAGAATCACAGAAGACTATTGAGATTCAGAGTGATTCAGTGATAAAATGACAGCTGAAATTCAATGCTGTTAAGTGCTAAGTAATGTACATGGGGAAATAAGCTCAACAGTATTTCCAGTCAGGAATGGGATGCTGGAGTCATTGTGTACACTTCTATAAAAACGTTAGTTTAGTGCTCAGAAATGCTCAGAAAGGCAAATAAAATAGCAGGAACTGCTGCTGTATCAGAGAGGAAAACATGCAGCACAGCTGTGCCACTGTATAAATCTACAGTTCACCTGAAGCTCCAATTTGCATGTAATTCCAGTCTCCCCATCTCAGGGGAAAAAAAAAAAAGGTAACTAAAAATGGAAAACGTGCAGAGAAAAGGAGCAAAGATCAAAGGCTTGATGTGCAAGGAAAACCTTACTAATCGCAGGCTCAGGAAAGAGAGAAATCAGGAGTTTAGAAGAGAATCTTGTGAAGGTGTGGGTAGAAAAAAGAGAGAGCAGAAAGGACCCTGGACTGTCTTATATCAGAATAACCTATGGGCAAACTACATAGTCATTGTGCAAGTGGTTTCAAATAAATGAAACAGGCCCCTTTTCAAACCACACACAGTTCAGTCCCTACCTCAGGATGCTATGGGAGGTCTCATAACTTCAAAAAGGGAGCAAGGGTATGTGCATCTGGAAGTTTGGTGGGTTTTTTAAACAGCACCGGCTGTCAGAACCTGGTAGGGCATTCCATGAAGCAAGATGCAATGACATGAGCAAATTTAGATTAGCTATTAGGAAGAAGTTCATCCCTGTGAGGGTGCTGAGGCGCTGGCACAGGGTGCCCAGAGAAGCTGTGGCTGCCCCATCCCTGGCAGTGTTCAAGGCCAGATTGGACACAGGGACTTGGAGTAACCTCCTCTAGTGGAAGGTGTCCCTGCCTGTGGCAAGGGGTTGGAAATGGATGAGCTTTAAGGTCCCCTCCAGCCCAAACCATTCTACAATTCACTCCTCTCCTCATGGAAAGCTTTGATCTGACCAGGCTTGATGGTGTGTGGGGCCACCAGTCCCTCCCTCAAAGGAGTTAAAAAGGAGGAATTACTACTTTCAGCTGTATTCCTACAAGGCAAAGTCACATTCTCAATCCCTCTCTCAGACCATATATATTTAGCCCTTTTGGGAGCTATAAAGCAACTATACAGTAGAGTCAGATCACACAGGGTCCAATCCATCCATTCAAGGATGGTCTCAGTAGTCCAGAGGAATAGTGGCTCTGTGTCCCCACCTCTGCCACATAACAGAGGACATGAAGTACCAAGCAAGCTTATAGCAGAAAGAGACTACAGCCACTTAGCTCTCCACCATACTCTGCTTTCCAGGAAATACCACACCTTGCCACAAACCTAGCAATAAAGCAATCCTTGTTTATGTCACCTAAACACCTAAATCAGGTTTTGTACCAATTGGTTCTTTATGTCTGACACAGAAGTGACCCGCTTTCATTCTCCACAAAATGCCACCAACACCCGTCACTGTTCTGGTCCACAACTGATCAGGCCTAAATCAGTCTCACTCCCTCAGATCAACAGTCATTGGCCAGTTTATACCAGATCAGAAGCTAGATCAAGAACAGTAGTGCTGGAGATTTCCTGAAAAGGGCTGGAGTTTTTCACTGCATCTGAGGACTGCAGAACAAGATCAAGTGGGTTTCATGTTCATCAAAAGAGGACAAATAAGGTTTAGTTCAGTGCAATACAGACGTTTCTTCTAGTGAAAGAGAAAAAAAAAAACTCTACTGGCTTTTGTTTATTTGATGTTTCCCCTCCTTACATTGCCCCAGAAGAGAAAATAAGCTGATAAATTCTATATTAGCACTAACGCGTGTATCCAACAATACTGACGTGTTTGCAGTTGAATTTTTAGTTCATTCTATTTTCCATCTCACAATGAAATTCAGTTCAATTGAAAGATTCAATAGTAATTGGAAATAGGCTCTGGCAATTGCATAATCTTGTTCTCAAAGACCCAGAAATTAACAAACAAACAAACAGAACACGCACAAAACTAAAGTAACCACATTCTGTAAAGATGTAATAAGTCAATTAAATTCGTGCACAAAGTGATTCTTGGCTGATGGGAGAACACAAAGAGAGAGGTCAGATCCTGTTTTCAAAAAGGAACCTTATGAAAAGGGAAGAAAATGGAAATGTCACTATTGAACATTATGATGAGAGATGAAAGGAGTCTCATCCAAAAAAGCTCCAAGGGGGTGAAATGTAAATTGCTCGGATAGGAAGCAAATGAAAGGAGATGTGATAAGGTCAGCGATGAGTAAACATGGGGGAGAGCTGCAACTCAGGTTCAGGTGGTAACAGTAATAAATATTAAAAGGCCTGGATGTGCAGCAGGTAAAAATCATCAGTTTCATCATCTTCAGTGGGGCTGCAGAGATTCACACCCACTGAGTCTTGTCCTACAATAGCACTCAGTATTTAGGCAGCTCTTTCATCTATTGATATTGTGCACAAACTATTATCTTCACTCACATGCTGAGAAAGGGAGGGGGGTACAAAGGCCTGCAGGATTTTCATTTTTCTTCCTAATTGCAGTTGTGCATTTTGGTTGGTCGGGGATGCAAGGCTAGAGCCAAGTCATCTCCAAATGAAACTGCGCACCTGAAACTCCTGAAGATTTAATGATTCACCCCAAAACAGATGCTTCCAAAATGTCTAAGGGAGTCAAAAGACTCATCCATACAACACGACTCAGGGCTACATAGCCCCAGTTAAGATTCCTCATTGAGATGAATTGAACATAGGAAAAAAAATCCAACAGAGCATTAGTTCATTGGTCTGTTGGGACTGCTTCAAGGAGACAGTGAAACCCCAAACAGGTTTCAATGCACTGAAAGAACATTCTTTCATATGAAAAAAAACATGTTTGGAACTATTTTTGCCTAATAAAGGGTTGGATTCAATAAAAAATGCCGATTTTGAGATATCGTTACCTAAACCTCAGTCGACATATATACCTATGATGCCTGTAGGGATTCTATACATGGGCAATGGAAAGAGGATCCCCCAGCCCATATTTCATGCCTGCTCTGTTACAGGGTTCCTGGTGGCAGCTACATGTGAAACGAAAGCTCTGCAGAGACATCATTTTCTTAGACAAGTTAATCACCCTGTAAAGGTACTCCTTACTCCCTGCCGCGAACTGTTGCATAGCTCCGCTGCCTGCTGTTAAACTGTCGAGTGATTCGACTTAAAACTGGTTGCCACTCATTTATGAAGAGGTAATCCCTGTGCTTGGCATATGCAGGTTTGTTTAATATGTGAAGCTCCATGAGATCCACTGGGATGGAAGGTTCTCAGTGGATGCTCGTCATCATCAAATGTAGGATGATAGCTAATTAGCTCACATGTCTCTGGGTACCCTGTGAGAATAGCCATTCAAGCTCGACAGAGATAACTCGCCTGAGAAGCGAGTAATCCTGATAAATGTAACTCCAGGAAAGGACAGTAGATATTAGAAAGGCAGAAGCAGTATCTCTTCATACAAGATTATGAATTTTGAGCCCACTTCTACCATTGAGTAAGTTAACACTGACACCCCAGATGGATTGAAGGTTAAGCAAGTGATATTTGCTACTTACATCACCACCAGCTATAGGAATGTTGACTCTGGATATTCGCAGCTAACCCTGTTGTAACAAGAGGGTATCAAAAAGTACTTTTATCCACTATGTTCCAACACATGTATAAGAAATTAAACATTCTGAAAAATGTGGGTTTTAATAAAAGTTATCTCTAAATGCTCATCAGCTACAAGAGTCTGGTTCTTAGTGAGTGCAAATGCCTTACTGAAGACATGGTGCTATATGGCAAACCCAGAAATAACAGCCTTTAAATTGTGTTACTAACCCAACATATAGACTACCGATACGCATTTATCACTGATGATGAAACACCACAAAATGCTGTTTAAGAAGTGCCATGCATATCCAAGTCCACCCATGCCTAAAGATACTTTCTAAATCCAGGCCACAGTTTGTGGAACCTGCTAAGCGTAAAGGTGTTCTGTAAGATATGATTAGGAATTGTATAAAACTTTGAAGGTTATTATTGCACCAGATTTGGTTGAAATATGTAATTAAGTACAGAGAGAAGGCTTTTGGCCTTTTCAAAGGATAGGAGCCTTTTTTGATTTTATTAGTCAAAGAAGGTGATAATTTTTATATTCATAAGCAGAGAGCAACTCCTCTGTTAAACAGTGATTATAAAATACTAACTGAAATACCATTGGCAAAGTCTGAAGAAGGTCACTCTTTCTTCTTATTTTTTGTAATCAATCTTTACTCTATCAAAGGCTGCAGAAATATAGTAGTAATCTAAGTTGAATTGTGGACATCGCTGAACTTGTGGGCACATGTGGCAATGCCTTCTTTGTTAATTGAAGCTGCATCAAATGAAAACC